ACGCGTAAAAACATATATGCACATACCCAGAGAGACACACACACAGACGGACAAACACACACACGCACACACACACACGCAGTGTTTATTTTATGGATTACTCTCCTGATAAAACGGTTGTTGTTTGTTTAAATGTGCAGTGAGATTCGCATCATATTAGTTACCTATGGCGTAATTTATTGCATTCAAAATACAGGGATGGTTGCCTGAATTATCGATATCGAACTACGGCTTGCCATAAATTAGAAATTTTTGTTTTCTGTTCTTCACATTTATTTTGTTGTTTTTTTTCTTTTTAACGTTTTGCTTTTTAGTTCTTTAGATGAAAATTTTGTTTTTTTGCTGTTTTAATGGTTACGCGTCCGTTCAGATGACGTTGTCAGGGAATATTTATGAAAAGAGAGCTAGGTAAAGATAGAATCACACGAGCAATGCATGTGTGCATTTGGTTTTGTACATACACGCACGCGCGCACACACACACACACGCACATTGTACTTATAGTTTGTGTATGTAGTTTCATCTTCTTATTTATCTATATTCAGCATATGTACTCTATGTTATATTTTTGCATTTAATGGATGTATTGTGTTGTCATTGTTGTTGTTGTTGATGTTGTTGGTATTGTTAGTGTTGTTAGTGTTGTTGTTGCCGATGCTACTGTTGTTGTGGTTGATGTAATCGCTATCGTCGTTAGTGTAATTTGTTGTTTTTCTTCTTACTGTCATTTGTGAGTTGTTCTCACACACTTGAGTGCTTATAGTCGTTTGCTTGATGTATTCATTCTGAAGAATGATAATGGCGATGATGATAATGATGATGATGTGGTAATGATGATGATGTGGTAATGATGATGATGTGGTAATGATGATGATGGTAATGATGATGATGGTAATGATGATGATGGTAATGATGATGATGGTGATGAGGATGATGATGGTGGTGATAGTAATAGCGACGATGACGTAATTATGACGACGACCATGATGATGCCGATGATAATGATGATGATT